CAGGTTTCATGCCAAGGCCTTTGTCGTTAAGGTTTAGGGTTTGGTCTTGGGGTTTAGGGTTCAGGGTTTAGGGTTTAGGATTTGACGTTTAGGTTTAGGAACCCTAAGCACACCTTTCTGCAAACACTGGTTGCGCTGTAAACCCTCATCAATTCTGAGGTGACCTGCAGCGAAAAAAAAACACAACGAGGATTTGGGCCCTCCCGGGTCCCTAACCCCGGTTTAGGGTTTAGGGTTTAGGGTTTAGGGTTTAGGGTTTAGGGTCCCTGAACCCTAAATGCTAAACCCCAAGCCCTCTGCTGCAGCGAAGCCAGCTTGACAGGGAGACTTGGCTCATAAGTAGCCAGCTCGACAGTGGAGAAGTCCTCGTTCCGTGCAGGTTCTTAGGGTAGTTAAGGGCTTTTGGTCTTGGGGTTTAGGGTTTGGGGTTTGGGTTTGGGGTTTGGGGTTTGGGGTTTGGGGTTTGGGGTTTGGGATTTGGTTTACGGTTTGGGGTTAGAGGTAGTTTCGCGGTTCCTTAGGGCCCTTGAAATAGGTGTTCGGGCCTCCGGCTTAGGACTTCGGATTTAGAACGCATCTCGCTCCTACGGCAGCCACCAAACCCACCAAGCAAACCACCCTACCTAGAGCAAGCTGCAGACCCTTACAAGAAGCGAAGTGTATCTCGGCTATGGAGCATGTTCGTTCTTTTTTGGAACCACAAAGGCCGCTCTACCCTAAACCCTAAACCCTATAAACCCTATAAACCCTATAAACCCTATAAACCCTAAACCCTAAACCCTAAACCCTAAACCCCAAACCCTGAAGTAGTCCTCGGGCCGCAAGCAGCGGAAGGCCAGCGCGGCAAGGCCAGCGCCGAACTCGGGGAGGGGGGGGGTGGGGGGAGGTTGTTCAAAGTTGGGCGGTCTCCCTCCCGACTTGGAGGTTCATGGTGCTTATGTAGGGTTTAGGGTTAAGGGTTAAGGGTTTAGGGTTTAGGGTTTGGGGTTTAGGGTTTAGGGTTTAGGGTTTAGGGTTTAGGGTTATTGCTGCATTTGTAACCCCAATTCTAACCGCGTTAGGGCACTTAAGGGGCTTTTTAAGTGGGTGACAGGTACAGCTAAGGTAAGACCATGAACCTCCAAGTATAGGTGTTTAGGGCTTAGGGTTTAACCACCCCAAATCGGGATTCTAGGGATGTAGCACTTGGCAGGAAGGAGCCCAGTTGCGAGAAGGGTGTACGGATTCTACTTGGAGGTTCATGGTGCTTATTAACCAGTTATCACTGTACGTATAAGCCACTTACAGGCCCCTCAAGTGCCCTAATCTGGTTGTAAGTATAGGTAGAAGTACAACTATCGTTGGTTCATAAGTAATTTACCATGAACCTTTATGTAGGACCGGTGATAGCACAGACTTCGGAGATGATGGAGGGTAGTTGAGGGGCTCTGGTCTTGGGGGCTTTTGGTAATAACAAGAGTAACCTATCTACCCTTTGAAAAAGGAGATACGTACACACTCAACTCTGAACAAAGAAGACATACACCCAATGAATTGAGAGGTGCTCTTTGTTTTGTTTTTCTTTTCTCTCTCTCTCTCTTACTTAGGAATGCGTCGATTGGCTACTCTGGGAGAAGCTTCTTGAGTGGCACTGGGGCTGTAAGTATCCTAACTTACTACTTAGGAAAGGAGTCCCTTACCTAGAGTAGACCCAAGAGTAGCCCAGGAACAAAAAGCAGGTGCCCTTGTTGGTTCAAAGGGGCCTATAAGGGAGTAAGGGCCTACTCTGGGTCCTGGTATCGATGGTATAGTCAAGGGGCCGCTGCTTGTAGGGCTTGGGATTTGGGGCCTGGGCTTTAGGCTAAACCCTAAACCCTAAACCCCAACCCCTAAACCCTAAACCCTAAACCCTAAACCCTAAACCCCTAAACCCCTAAACCCCTAAACCCCTAAACCCTAAACCCTAAACCCTAAACCCTAAACCCTAATCCCTAAACCCTAAACCCTAAAGGCTCCGAGCTGACGAGGTGCAATCTCAAATCCCGTCCACGCGAAACTCCAGCTCATTCCTGGGTGGGGGAGTCTCGGTACCCTATCATGGGACTCTCTTACTGGCCCAAAACCCAAGGAAATAAAAGTTCAAACTTTCAGAATGAACTCCCTTGTAAGAAGCCCAAAAGTTGAAAAGTTGGAATTTGAGCCAGTAGGTTCTACCTTGGACCCCTCAGGTGGTACCCTTGTTTGGGGGGGGGGACCCCTCTTTAAGGATCCTACAAGGGAATGCAAAGGCCATGTTCGGAGTTTATTAAGGGGTTTAGGGTTTAGGGTTTAGGGTGGACATCCTTAGGGGCACATCCTTAGGGGCTCCAAGTCTGACTCCCTTGACCCTAAGCCACGGCAATCTCGCTACATGGGGGTTGGTACAGGGTGGGGCCCCCTAGTTATAAGTAGAGTTATAAGGGCCCTAAATTGGGTTATAAGGACCCTAAGTTAGGTTATAAGTCCCTTAACTACAGTTAGT